ATGCCTATATATTTCCATATTTATAATAATAACTGGTGAGCACATTAGACTCAGGAAACTGCAGCTTGGGAACTTTAGAAAACTATAAATTATTGCATCAAACTATAAACAATTCAGTCATCAGAAAAACATCCTGAGAAAGTGTGTTGCAACAAGGTAGATTGATCCTTTTTTTTTAAATTTTAATTGGTCAAGCCTCATTATTTGTGATTTTTTGGGCATTTGATTCAACAGCTGGGGTGAAAATGATAGGACATCTTGCCAGCTTCAGTCTTCTCTCTGTATTTCTTATTTTTTGGGCTGAGATTCTGACATGAACTTGTAGGTGTTATTTACAGTTTAATCTTTATTTGTTCTTCTAGAGATGATTTTTCTTTGTTTGTACAGTTGGGTTGTTCTTTATTTCAAGAAATAATTATTTTTTTTCTTTTTCTTGGGGATGGGGGTACGTAGGAGGACGGTGAGATTAGTTGAGTAATAGTCAACATTGTATGGCATTTGATTTCCAACTCCCAGTCAATCTAGAAATGCAGCAGTTATCAGAATCGATCTTGGGATGATTCCACCTGCTTAATTAAAATGTCATAAAGAACAATCATTTGAATGTTCAACATTCTAGATTGTTCATTACTAATTAGCTTTGACACCTGCAGTTGATGAAGTTTTTAATGAAGAAGAAAGACGTTGCACCTTTGGTTTAATGGAGTTTGTATTGAAAACCACGTTATACAGTTTAGGGGCAAAGACACGGACATTGAAGGATGACAAGCTCGTCTGTAACATTCTTAATAATCAGACAATATTGTGCTAATGGATTGATATCAGGTTGTCTGCTCCTACGCCATTGGTTCTATTTAATCATGCCTTAAGGATCGCTATATCTTCTCTACAATGATAAAAATGTAACCAGTCAAAATTCTGATCTACGTTATGGGTAATATTAAGTTGGAGATATCTTTGGTTTAAGTTGAACACTTCCTACTTTCCGAAAAAACTACATCAAAAAAAAAGAAAGAAGTTTAGTTCTTGTCAGTGTTTCAAAAAAATTGCTGTCCAATTGAAATTTGCTTGCTTCAACACGCTTTAAGGGAACCTCAACTAATTCGGAAGCTGAAAGAAGTCCATATGCCTGATTCATATAAAAAGGAAACCAGAAATTGGAGGTAGTCAAAATCACCAGTTTTAAAGAAATTAAATTTGCTTAAACAACCGGGATTTGATGATTTTCACTTTATTTTACGCAGTTTCTTGATGGCCAACTCAGCCTTTTTGGATAATGAAGGTTCCATTAGTATAAAATCACCTCATTTTTAATCTATTTCTCACGGGTGCTATAGGGGGAAAGACTAAGGGTCTTGTAGCTATGAGCAATATATATATAGCCTCGGGGAAAGCAATTCTAAAGAACAAAGAGGATTTGAGCTTAAGCATATTGGCATGCTCGGGCTCTAAGGACTTTTCAGATTAGTAATAGAGTTTCTGGCTTCTTTTATTCATCTCCTCATAGCTCCCTCTATTTGGCATGGCACGTCTGGTGGTGTACTTACTGGCATGTGCTTTAACTCTTCTGGCTTCAACATTTGCTTCTGCTGAAATTGTAGAGCATTCATTCTATGTAATGTCTCTCACCCATTTAAATTTGCGCTTTTTAATTTTTTTCGTTCTGAATCTTAAACTTTATGTTGAAGAGAAGTNTGGTGTACTTACTGGCATGTGCTTTAACTCTTCTGGCTTCAACATTTGCTTCTGCTGAAATTGTAGAGCATTCAGTCTATGTAATGTCTCTCACCCATTTAAATTTGCGCTTTTTAATTTTTTTCGTTCTGAATCTTAAACTTTATCTTGAAGAGAAGCGGTTTGGCGTATTTTGCTATTTTGGGTGTAAACAGAAGCAATTAAAATGAATGAGGGAAACAATAAGACAATTCATTGCGGAGGCAAATTTTCCAAAATAGGGATCCATCATTATTTGATTCTTTCTTCAGCTTTGTACCTCTTATTGAATTGATTAGGGTTAGGGTTCGGGACTTTGACATGCACTCTTAAGTGAATCTTTAACCGGTCAATCTTTCTTTACTTTATCTAACCTGGGACCTTTCCTCTTGCTCCGTTTCTTTCTTTTGCTTTTTATCCTACTAGGTTTTGAGAAATACATGATAGATAAGATAGGACATACGAGAATGTATTAGATCTTCTTCCACTTTTCCTTGTCTTATCCGATCCGTTAGGGGACAAAGGGCTTACTTTTCTCGCTTTTGAACTTGTTTTCTTTCTCTTCCGATGTCTAACACTACATTTTCTAAAAACTGAATTTTTTTTATTCTCATTTTTTTTCTTACATTGAAGGTTCACAATGTATAAACATATCTTGACACTCACAAATTCCAATTCCTCAGGTTCAAAATCTGACCATCTGGCGTCTATGCCAAGAGCGAGTGATCACTGCAGTAAATGGAAGTCTTCCAGGGCCAACGATAAATGTTCGAGAGGGTGACACCCTTGTCGTTCATGTCTATAATTTGTCACCATATAACCTAACTATTCACTGGTAAACCCTATATTGCAAAACTAAGTAAATGAAAATCGATGGTCTCTTAAATTGTAGTAACTTTGACAATATAACATGATCATTTTTCTTTCTATAATACTCCAGCATGGCTTCAGATAACCTTTTGAATATGACCAGTATATGAGTTTTCAAAGATTTGACCAAGCTTTTCTTGTCATGACAGTTACAACACAACGTTAGCCTTGAACAAACACAGTTGAATATATATATATATTGTTATGTAAGTAGATCTATCATTATCAATGTATGTATATATGTATTGAGGCCGTATGCAGGCATGGAGTTTTCCAGTTACTAAGTGGGTGGGCCGATGGACCGGAATATACGACTCAGTGTCCGATGCTGCCTGGACAAAGCTATATCTACAACTTCACCATCACCGGACAGGAAGGCACTCTCTGGTGGCATGCACACGTCCAATGGCTTCGAGCAACAGTTTATGGGGCACTCATTATCAGGCCAGGGGCTGGTTCTTCATATCCATTCCCAAAACCCTACAAGGAGGTCCCAATTGTTCTAGGTACAAAAGTCCTCTCTGATCCTGGAATCAACTTTTTATTTAGGGTCAATAACATTTTTTGTTCCTAAAAGATGTATTTTAAGTATTTAATGTATCAATTTTTGTCCTTAAATTATTCGATTCACATCAATTTGATTCTTACATAGACAAACCGTTAAGTTGTTGACGAAATGATCACGTGTTGAACATGTGTGCCGCTAAAAAAAATAATATATGGTCACTTCTATTAAAAAACTTGACGGATTATCTGATTAAAGAGTAAAATGATACGTATTGAATACTTTATAGACCAAAGTAACAAAATTAATACACTAAACTAATAAAATATGCACACTTTAAAAACCAAAAGTACTATTAATCTTTTTATTTATGAAGAGAAACTTGTGCTGGGATTATAAGTATTGAAGAGAAATTAAAAAAAAAAGGTCCATTGTCGACTTTCTTTTAAGTAAGTTTTAAAACGTGTGGTACATTATTTTCCCTGCCTACATTAGGACTTAGGACGTTAAACGACTTTAAATAGTTTGAGTTTAGCTCATTTAGTCTTTGTTGAAATTAATAAAAAATTATTTACCTTTCGAATTCATTTTTGAAATAATTCAAACTTCACACATCGTGTGACTTAGCTAGAGTAGGAAAAGGGTGTGAATTGAGACTAGTTATTCAGTCTCGCCTCGGATAAGATTCTTCTTAAATTGGACTTGTATTCTAAATAAATTGATCTTAAACAATTTTTTAGACTCATTTAAAAAAATGAGTTTTAAAGACTCGATTCAAGCTCGCAAAATTTGGTTCGTTTATATATAAAATAATTGAGTTAATCGGTTTCAGCTCGAGTTTGGCCCGAACTCGGGCTCGACTCGAGTTCTAAGCAAGTCAAGCTTAAATTCAAATTTTTAGGCTAGTTTAGAAAATGAACTCGACAAATTCAAATTCAAATTCAAACTCAAACTCATAAAATTTGACTCGATTTACGCTTAGTTACACTTGGAAAGCTTTTTATATATAAATAATACAAATTCTATGTCCATATGGATACCCACCCCACCCTGACAAGACAAATAAAAACAAAGCTAAATACATTAACACGAAAACAAACAAAATGAACAAATAGAAGCTATCAAGTCTAATCAATACGTATATTTATATCTGTATTAATAATAAAAATACATTATTAAGAAAAATTTTTATTCAACTATTTTTATTCAAATAACATAACTAAATGTATAATAATAGAATTTCAGTAATACTACATTTCTAACAAATCCAAATCATTCATTTCTTGTTACTTACGTTATTAAAATTCATAGGCTTTCTTTATATAAATTGCTTACGACATCAAAGTAATTTATTTCCTTTTGACTATTTAACCTTTTTTTTTTTACTTTACTTCTCAAATCTACTCAGCCAATTTTATTTTTGCATACATTGCAATATACCCATTATGATGAGGTTCCAAATAAAATTAAGTCAAACTAGTTGTTTCATGTGAAATAAATAGTGTCTCTAAAAACTTTAGGGGTTATTCAATGTCCAAAAGAGAATTCTATAATAAGTTGATTGCATTACATTGAATCGAAAGTATGTATTAATTGTATTTATTTTATTATTTTTAAAAAATATGCAAAAATAAATTTAAAAAATAAACTATGACTCAAAATGTTTCACTATAACAAAACGCATGATTGCAGGAGAGTGGTGGAATGCTAACGTTTTTGACGTGGAAAGCGNTGTCGACTTTCTTTTAAGTAAGTTTTAAAACGTGTGGTACATTATTTTCCCTGCCTACATTAGGACTTAGGACGTTAAACGACTTTAAATAGTTTGAGTTTAGCTCATTTAGTCTTTGTTGAAATTAATAAAAAATTATTTACCTTTCCAATTCATTTTTGAAATAATTCAAACTTCACACATCGTGTGACTTAGCTAGAGTAGGAAAAGGGTGTGAATTGAGACTAGTTATTCAGTCTCACCTCGGATAAGATTCTTCTTAAATTGGATTTGTATTCTAAATAAATTGAACTTAAACAATTTTTTAGACTCATTTAAAAAAATGAGTTTTAAAGACTCGATTCAATCTCGCAAAATTTGGCTCGTTTATATGTAAAATAATTGAGTTAATCGGTTTCAGCTCGAGTTTGGCCCGAATTCGGGCTCGACTCGAGTTCTAAGCAAGTCAAGCTTAAATTCAAATTTTTAGGCTAGTTTAGAAAATGAACTCGAGTCAAGCTTAAATTCAAATTTTTAGGCTAGTTTAGAAAATGAACTCGAGAAACTCAAATTCAAACTCATAAAATTTGACTCGATTTACGCTTATTTAGNCGAGAAACTCAAATTCAAACTCATAAAATTTGACTCGATTTACGCTTAGTTACACTTGGAAAGCTTTTTATATATAAATAATACAAATTCTATGTCCATATGGATACCCACCCCACCCTGACAAGACAAATAAAAACAAAGCTAAATACATTAACACGAAAACAAACAAAATGAACAAATAGAAGCTATCAAGTCTAATCAATACGTATATTTATATCTGTATTAATAATAAAAATACATTATTAAGAAAAATTTTTATTCAACTATTTTTATTCAAATAACATAACTAAATGTATAATAATAGAATTTCAGTAATACTACACTTCTAACAAATCCAAATCATTCATTTCTTGTTACTTACGTTATTAAAATTCATAGGCTTTCTTTATATAAATTGCTTACGACATCAAAGTAATTTATTTCCTTTTGACTATTTAACCTTTTTTTTTTACTTTACTTCTCAAATCTACTCAGCCAATTTTATTTTTGCATACATTGCAATGTACAATACCCATTATGATGAGGTTCCAAATAAAATTAAGTCAAACTAGTTGTTTCATGTGAAATAAATAGTGTCTCTAAAAACTTTAGGGGTTATTCAATGTCCAAAAGAGAATTCTATAATAAGTTGATTGCATTACATTGAATCGAAAGTATGTATTAATTGTATTTATTTTATTATTTTTAAAAAATATGCAAAAATAAATTTAAAAAATAAACTATGACTCAAAATGTTTCACTATAACAAAACGCATGATTGCAGGAGAGTGGTGGAATGCTAACGTTTTTGACGTGGAAAGCGAAGCATTAGCTAGTGGTGGTGCTCCTAACATCTCTAATGCTTTCACCATTAATGGTCAGCCCGGTGATCTCTACCCATGTTCTTCAAATCGTAAGCGACACCAATCAACATTACTTTCCTACTTAAACCTCCAGTTTCTGTTTTTATGGTGTTTCATTTACATTAACAAATGATCAAATGTGTGCGTGTGTGTGTGTTCTTTCAGATACATTCAAGTTGAGGGNCCCACCCTGACAAGACAAATAAAAACAAAGCTAAATACATTAACACGAAAACAAACATAATGAACAAATAGAAGCTATCAAGTCTAATCAATACGTATATTTATATCTATATTAATAATAAAAATACATTATTAAGAAAAAATTTTATTCAACTATTTTACCCTTAAAACAAAGCATAACGATAAGACCATATAAAACCTTATTCAATGTAGAATTTCAAATAACATAACTAAATGTATAATAATAGAATTTCAGTAATACTACACTTCTAACAAATCCAAATCATTCATTTCTTGTTACTTACGTTATTAAAATTCATAGGCTTTCTTTATATAAATTGCTTACGACATCAAAGTAATTTATTTCCTTTTGACTATTTAACCTTTTTTTTTTACTTTACTTCTCAAATCTACTCAGCCAATTTTATTTTTGCATACATTGCAATGTACAATACCCATTATGATGAGGTTCCAAATAAAATTAAGTCAAACTAGTTGTTTCATGTGAAATAAATAGTGTCTCTAAAAACTTTAGGGGTTATTCAATGTCCAAAAGAGAATTCTATAATAAGTTGATTGCATTACATTGAATCGAAAGTATGTATTAATTGTATTTATTTTATTATTTTTAAAAAATATGCAAAAATAAATTTAAAAAATAAACTATGACTCAAAATGTTTCACTATAACAAAACGCATGATTGCAGGAGAGTGGTGGAATGCTAACGTTTTTGACGTGGAAAGCGAAGCATTAGCTAGTGGTGGTGCTCCTAACATCTCTAATGCTTTCACCATTAATGGTCAGCCCGGTGATCTCTACCCATGTTCTTCAAATCGTAAGCGACACCAATCAACATTACTTTCCTACTTAAACCTCCAGTTTCTGTTTTTATGGTGTTTCATTTACATTAACAAATGATCAAATGTGTGCGTGTGTGTGTGTTCTTTCAGATACATTCAAGTTGAGGGAGGTGGTACAAGGAAAAACCTATCTTCTACGTATTGTCAACGCTGCACTCAATAACCACTTGTTCTTCAAGATAGCCAATCACAAAATGACTGTCGTCGCCGTTGACGCCTCCTACACCAACCCTTATGTAACTGACGTTGTCGTCATATCCCCCGGCCAGACCACCGATGTCCTCTTGATTGCCGATCAGCCACCAGCATCTTACTACATGGCAGCACATGCCTACGATAGCACAGACGGAGTAGTTGAGTTTGATAACACCACCACCACCGGAATAATCGTCTACGACGGCGCCATCGAATCAGCACCCATAATGCCGGTGCTACCAGCCTTCAATGATACACCCACTGCCTTCAAGTTCTTCAGCAATCTAACTGGGCTTGTTACTTCACCTTTCTGGGCCCCAGTACCACTAAACGTGGATGAACCCATGTTTATCACTATTGGTTTGGGCCTTGCAGCATGTGCAGCAAATGCTACCTGTGGAGGCCTATTTGGCCATAGCTTGGCTGCGAGCATGAACAATGCATCTTTCCAGTTCCCCTCCAAGTTGTCAATGTTACAAGCTTTTTTCAACAACGTTGATGGAATCTACACCACTGATTTTCCTGACCAACCACCATTGATATTTGACTACACTAATGCAAATAACAGCTTAAATCAATCCCTTTTAATGACAACAAAGTCAACAAAAGTGAAGAAAGTCAAGTTTAATGCAACGGTTGAGATGGTGATGCAGAACACAGCTTTGATTGGTGTGGAAAATCACCCTATACACTTGCATGGATTCAACTTCTATGTGTTGGCTCAAGGGCTTGGCAACTTTGATCCTGTAAACGATCCAAAAAAGTTTAATTTTGACAATCCACAAAAGCGTAATACTATCGCTGTGCCGGTCGGAGGGTGGACTGTTATTAGATTTCGAGCTAATAATCCAGGTGAGTATTCATTAAAATTACATTTTTTTTATCTCTCCTAGCTTTGAAAGTAGGTAGCATCTACTAACAAATTTTTATTTTTTTTAATTTAACTAGATTTTAATGTTACATTTTTACTTGTTTTGTTGTTTCCCATTAGCGGGACTTGTTCTTTCCTCCAACCTTAATCACACGTATAATTAAGGATAACATGCGTATATTCATATATAAAAGTATTTTTAATTACTATGTTGCATTTTGATCCAGTGTGAAAAATAGTTATGAAATATATTTTAAATTTTTGGACAAAGTTAGGTATTTGCTTAAAACTTGTAATAAAAAAAAAAAAAAGACTACAAAATAATGCAATATATCTATATCGAACTATGCCATATATATATATATATATATATATATATATATTCCTTTGATGACTAAGTCCAGTTGCATAAACTAATTTTTGTTCGTGGAACTGTGGCCCTTGCAGGTGTATGGCTGATGCACTGTCACTTTGACGTACACTTGCCGTGGGGCCTGGCCACCGCTTTCGTCGTTGAGAATGGAGGAACACCGTCATCTACCCTGCCTCCGCCTCCCCTTGATCTACCTCATTGCTAGAAAGAGCCTACAACAGGATCATTCTGTTGTTTTATTAAGTTTTTTAGCATATATATTGCTAACAAGCATTTCAAGATTTGATATTATTTTCATTTTGTTCTTTTAGAAAATAAAGTACATTTTCATTCAAATGTGTAACTATTATACACATCTAAAGACAATCAACTACATGTAATTCCATTTATTATTGATCAAATAGGAATCTCGATAACCTTCATTTCAAAGCCGGCGTATTATAGGATGTTGCCAAGCCATGAATAATTTCTGGTTTCGTGGGGAGTTCTTGGTTTTGAGAGAAGCTGCCTTATGATCTCTAATGTTCCAACCACCAAAAAACCAATGGATACCATTCAGGGGCGGAGGTATTAGTGGGCTGTGGTGGGCTGACGCCCAGGGTAGAAATTTTTTTTTTTTTTTTTATTAGAGCCAACCCAACCCAACCCAACCCAGCCTGTGACAGGCCTCTTGTTTTCCACAGTAATGTCAAAACCCATGTATTTAACTATATGGGGAGAGCTAAGCTGAGAAAGAAAGCGTTTTTCTTTTTGCAAGAAGCTGGAGGTGGAACGCTCAGTGGACTTGACAGCGAAGAGCTGGCCGGAGGTGGTGGCGGCAAGAGAGACGGTGACGGCGGAGCCCCGGCCTATGGTGGGACCCCTAGTCCACTCCATTAGAGAGATCAAGGAGGAAAATTGGAAGGTTGAAGGTGGGTTTGATGTTGTTTTCTTAGTTTAGTTTGTGGCAAAATCTAAGCTTTGGTTATGAGTATATATATGCTGTGTGGGTGTACAAAATTGCAATAGTTGTTATGGATTTTAATGTATTTTGTTGTCTTTTTTATTTTGGCGGGGGCTTTTGGATGTCCCTATGCAGAGAATCTTCCTTCTTGCTGTCCAATGACGGCCTTGAGTTTCTCTTCATTTGTCATATAGGTCAAATTACACTTTACCTGCTTAAATTATCATCCCAATCTCCCAACAGGTACGATTCAAATGCCCCTGAATCACACACACATATGTTTTTCAAGCAGTGTTGCATTTGCCATTCTGTCTGTTTGGCCTCTTGACCTCTTTTCCAGCTAGAAATCTTTAGTAGACTTTAGAGTTTAAATCATGATCGATAAAAATGAGCTAGAATGTGTTTACCACTTGATGTCCCTTTAGAGGTTTGGAAGTGATAATGCATGCACTGATGCACTTGAGGTCATCGTTCTTTTAATTAATTTTTGAGAATTCAAGAAATTTATATAAGATTGTAGAAAATAGGAATNAGAGGTTTGGAAGTGATAATGCATGCACTGATGCACTTGAGGTCATCGTTCTTTTAATTAATTTTTGAGAATTCAAGAAATTTATATAAGATTGCAGAAAATAGGAATGCATATTGATTGCCTATGTTTTAGCTGTGATTGCATGTGGAAATGGTTTTTTAGTGCACCACCTGACTGCTATTGAATTCTTGATTATTCTTAGGAAGGATCGAAGAGTCCAATTTTATTAGTAAGTGTTTTTGAGTTTATATTTGTATTATTGTATATATGTTTATGAGTTTATATTTGTATTTTGTTAGTCGTATGAATGCTTAGTTTAGCCCGAGATAAATAAAAATCCTGGCTCCGCCCTTGATACCATTTCCTTAGCTTAAAATGCTTAGATATCGTTAAAGTTCCACTCTAGCTTCACCTCCCCAACCTCATTTATTAAACCTCTTGGAAGATAACAAGCGCTCTCTTCTTGTGATTTTAAAGGGAAGGCATGAAGAATAATTACAGTTAACCGAGCCTCCTCCTAAGAATCATGAGAAGTAGAATGTTGCTGCTCTATAATAAGGTTACTGCTCTTGCAGTTTGCTTTTCATTTGGGCTAAGGAGCCTCTTCATAGTTAGAACCTCCCAACGCTATTAGTAAAATCTATGGTTTTGCCTTTCACTTGGATTAGAGCCTCCTCACAGTTAGAACCTCCCAACACTACTAGTAAAATCTATAGTCCTGCCTTTCACCTTGCTACATGTTGAGATTACTGGGATTACTTGCCTTCCTAGATTAGACTGATCAATACCTTATTGGTAGCTACCAAAAGTGAACTGTTATCCAGAGAAGTTTCAAGGTTAGAAGTAGCAATGCTTGAAGTATAGGAGTAAATGACTTGCCAGCTAATACAAAATCTCAGAGCCCATAATCCTCACATAACTAATGCCTCCAACAATTGGATATCCTTGTTATATCTCCAGGGTCAACGCTGCTGTAACTTATCTCATTATTAGAATATTAGTTACCTTATTTTTAGGATATTTGAATTTTATTCTGTTTATACTTTCTCCTTGTATTCTCTATATAAACACACAGTCACATAATACAAAGTAAGTCCTTTTATCATTTTAGTTCTTGATCTTGTCAGAATCTTTATGGTATCAGAGCATCATGCTCCCACAAGCACTTAAATCTACCTCTCATTCTCATGGCTAAAACCACTCAAACAAATTCTGTTTCTGTCTCTGTTGTGACTACCCCTGCTATTGTAGCACCAAACTCATTGATTGCAATCAATGCCGTAGCACAACTGCCCCTCAAACTCACGCCATTAAACTACTTGTCTTGGCGTGCTCAGTTCAACGCTCTCCTCATTGCATACGATCTAATGCGTTATGTGGATGGTTCTCATCTCGAACCACCCAAAACCATCAATGATGCACCAAATCCTGATCATCTTCTATGGCTTCGACAAGATCAGCTTCTGCTGCACTCTATTATTGCCTCTGTCTCAGNAGTTCAACGCTCTCCTCATTGCATACGATCTAATGCGTTATGTGGATGGTTCTCATCTCGAACCACCCAAAACCATCAGTGATGCACCAAATCCTGATCATCTTTTATGGCTTCGACAAGATCAGCTTCTGCTGCACTCTATTATTGCCTCTGTCTAAAAACAGATAATGCCACTCATTGCCTCAGCAACAAACTCTCGTATGGCATGGGAGAAACTTAAAACTCTCTATGCGAATCGCTCACGATCCAGAGTTATGGGTCTCAAGGAACGACTCTCCGCCACCACTTGNATTATTGCCTCTGTCTAAAAACAGATAATGCCACTCATTGCCTCAGCAACAAACTCTCGTATGGCATGGGAGAAACTTAAAACTCTCTATGCGAATCGCTCACGATCCAGAGTTATGGGTCTCAAGGAACGACTCACCGCCACCACTCGTGACTCCAGCCTTATGGGTGAATTTCTGAACACAATGAAAAGCATATCTGATGAGCTCTCAATCATAGGTGAGCCTCTTGGTGATATTGATCTTGTTGTCCATGTCCTAAATGGTCTTGGCCCAGCATTCAAAGAGATTGCTGCAACGATTTGTGCCCGGGAAAACCCCATCAGCTTTGAAGACCTTTATGATAAACTTGTGGAGTATGAAAATTTTCTCAAACACGATGAGGCGCGTGTTGAGCCTCCAATAATCACGACCACTGTCACTTAACGGTCCGGACAATCCAACACCTATAATTCTAGGCTCCACTTCAACAACAAAGGCTCTTCCCCAAACACCTTTAACAATCATGGGCATCAACAATCTTCCAACTTCAATTGTGGTTACCAAGGCTCAAATCAGTACTAGAAGAAATGCCTAGGCCAGGTTTACAAAGGTATTTGCCAATTGTGTGATCAACAAGGCCATAGTGCAAAACGTTGCCCTCGTGTCCACCCTACTCCACATACAACTCCCACTGCCAACTACACCACTACTCCACCACAGTCACAAACCTGGCTCCTCGACTCAGCCGNTGCCCTCGTGTCCACCCTACTCCACATACAACTCCCACTGCCAACTACACCACTACTCCACCACAGTCACAAACCTGGCTCCTCGACTCAGCCGCATCTCATCATGTCACAAATGATCTCAATAACCTCTCACTCTCCTTTGAATATGAACGTTTGGATGCTATTGTAATAGGTGATGGCACAGGTTTGCGCATAACTCACACTGGCACTGCAACTCTTTCCACTCCTTCTACTACTTTTTCCTTATCTAATGTTCTTTGTGCTCCCTCTATCAAGAAAAATCTGCTTTCCATTTCTCAATTCTGTAAATCAAATAATATATCTATTGAATTTTTTCCTACTTATTTCTAGGATTCTCACCCATCTTGTTGCCTCTTGCACCCTTCCTCTCTCTGCCTCTCCCACTGAAATAAATTGTGACTCATGTCTTTGTAATAAAAGCAAACGGCTCCCCTTTTATGTATCTTCTCTCAATAGCCGTGGTCCCTTAGATCTGCTCTACACAGATGTTTGGGGCCCGGCTCCAGTAACTTCAATGGAATGTTATCGCTTTTATGTTATTTTTGTTGATCACTTTACAAAATATATTTGGTTCTANCTCCAGTAACTTCAATGGAATGTTATCGCTTTTATGTTATTTTTGTTGATCACTTTACAAAATATATTTGGTTCTACCTTATTTTTCATAAATATGATGTTTTTACTATCTTTCCAAAGTTCAATGCCATTGTTGAAAGCTACTTTAAAACATCTATCGTGACCACTTACTTGGATAATGGGGGGGAGTAAATCAAAATGAAAGACTATTTTGCCAACCATGGCATCACCCACCTAACTATTCCCCCACACACTCCCCAGCACAATGGTACAACTGAACGTTGTCATCGGCATATAATGGACACGGGTCTTAACATGCTCCATCAAGCCTCGCTTCCTCTCTCTTTATGGCCTCATGCATTTCAAGCTGCCACTTACCTCATTAATCGCCTCCCTACTCCCATTCTCTATCTTAAATCCCCTTTTGAATTTCTTTTTGTTGCTCGGCCTAATTACCTAAAGCTTCGTGTATTTGGGTGTTTGTGCTACCCTTGGCTACGTCCTTACGCCAAGTACAAAATTGACTCTTGATCGTGCCCATGTGTTTTTCTAGGTTATTCCCTTACTTAGAGTGCCTATAAGTGCCTTGATCCCAATACCAAGCGCATGTTCATCTCTTTTTTCTCATGCACGTATATCCCCTCAAACCATTCCCAATTGGACATGTTCATTTCAAATTCCTGCTCCACCACCTGTCCCTCCTTTTCTAACCCTTCCTTCTTCACTCACTCCAGCCATGCCAATCTTGTCACTAGTGGAGTTCTTGCAACACCAATAGCAAGCCACGGTACACTCATGCTGGTCATCAATCTCGTGCAACAACCTCTTATCCCCACATATTCTTGAATCCTCTACATTGCCACATCATCAACATCCCCACCACCACCACTCTCACCACCACCCTTCTCGAATCATCACATGATCATCTGTGCCAAAAATAACATTTTTAAACCTCACCAACTCAATGTCACCACTAAACATCGTTTACTTGCCACCCTTGAACTAACATGTGTATCCCAAGCCCTTCAACACCCAGAGTGGCGAGCTGCCATGTCAGATGAGTTCAATGCTTTAGCCTGCAATAGCACTTGGGAGTTGGTACCTCCCTCTTCGAAATAGAATCTGGTGGGTTGCAAGTGGGTATTCCAGATCAAAAGAAAATCAGATGGGTCCATTAACAGTTACAAGGCTCGCCTTGTGGCTAAAGGCTTCCATCAATGACTAGGTCTCGATTATACTGAGACATTTAGCCCAGTTTTAAAGCCTACCACCATTTTTGTTGTGCTCTGCTTAG